AGTCTGAGAAGAATACTGTACTAGGCGGAAAAATAAGTGTGTTTTTTTTTTACTCTTTTCAAGATTTATTTTTTTTTGCAACTCTTTGAAAATATATTTTCAAAATATATTTTGAACACAAATAAAAGTCCCCCCCCACTTTTGCATCCTTCCCTGCCTGCGGGCCAAGCAAATCTTGGAAACGTGGAAGGTATCCATACATAAAGTAAGTTCCAAAAGAACCATAGAGCCTTCTTTAAAAAAAAACAACCAAAAACAAAATTAGTCTTGGAAACGACAATCCTGGGAGACTTTTTTTTTTTTAGAGAGGTGTTATCTTCCAATAGGCAAATAGTTTGGAAGACCAAACTGGAAATAAAATTCCTTGCTGGACTCATTCTTGGGGAGAATCAGTTGGACCTAATTTTTTTTCTTTGGAATTTTCCTGGCTTTGGGAGATCAATACCAAATAACAACAACAACAACGATACTAATAATAAAGTTGGAAGGGACCTTGGAGGTCATCTAGTCCAACCCCTAGCTCAGGCAAGAAACCCTATACCATTTCGGACAAATGGCTGTCCAGTCTCTTCTTAATTTGAAGGTCACAACCTCGTAAGTGGCGAAGACCTCCGTCCAACAAGGTGACCAATTAACAAGATTGACAGTCCTTCAAAGAGGAATCAAGGTCCAACGAAGAGAGGAACTAGTCAAAGGTAGGCAACGAAGAACAGGACGGAAGTCCGCGAAACCTCTTATCGAACTGAGGGAGAAGAAACCCCGTCGGGGACTCTATTTGGAAGACTGCTATCATGTCCCCCCTCGTCCTTCTCTTCATTAAACTAGACATACCCAGTTCCAGCAACCGTTCCTTATATGTTTTAGCCTCCAGTCCAGAAGAAGGAATCAGATTTTTGGGACCAATGTTTTGCCTTGCATTGTAAGAGTTCATAAATATTTGCAAAGGGTGTGATAGGGGCTGACCTACAATCAAATTAAGAGAACCCTAACTAAAAATCTATACAACAAAGTTGAGGTATTGTCCCAACGATTCCTGACTGGATCTTTGATCTTTAACTTCCAGGCATTAGTGAAGGTTCTCTATGTACAGATAGTCCTTGATTTAACAACAGTCCATTTAGTGACCGTTCAAAGCACTAAAAAAAGTGTCTTATGACCGTTTTTCGCACTTACGACCGTTTCAGCCTCCCCGTGGACAGCGTGACTAAAATAAACTCCAAATAAGTTGCGTTCATAAAAGAACACAAGTTTCAAAGTGTATAACTGTTTATCTATGCCTTCAAAACAAAAGGTGTTTTTTTTTTGAAGCAAATTCCCCTCCCTCTTAACAATTACAGGAGTTCTCTAAAACAAGAATATCCAGGGAGACCGTTTTTAAACTCTATATATCTTGTTGTTCTATTTAGATCAACAATCCAGGTGGGTCTTCCCACGCTGATCAAAATAGAGAGAGTGAGTTTGCACGAATCTCATATATGTCAACATCATCACGAGCGCCACCACTGTGGTGAAATTAATAACTCCTGTGGCTTTGGGGATAAGGAGAGGGAGGGAGGATACGTAATTGGGTTTTCCAGTTAACTTTTATTGCAAAAGTTGGACTCCTATGAGATAAATCAACCATCTCTGAATTACTGGTCAGAATTCAGTGCTGGAGAATATCAGCCAGGAAGGAAGGAAGATGAGAGGGAGGAAGATGGGAAGGAAGGAAGGAAGGAAGGAAAGAAGGAAGGAAGGAAGGAAGGAAGGAAGGACAATGAGGGAGGGAGATAGGGGAGGAAGGAAGGAAGGAAGGAAGGAAGGAAGGAAATGATGGATGGGAAGGAGGGAGGGAGGAAGGAAATGGATAAATGGATGGATGGAAAGAAGGGAGAGAAGGAAGAAAGGATGGATGGATGGATGGATGGGATGGAGAAAGAAGGAAGGAGCTGATGGATGGATGAATGGATGGATGGAAGGGCGTGAAGGAAGGAAAGATGAAAAGATGGATGGGAGGAAAGAAGGGAGGGAGGGAGGGAAGGAAGGAAGGAAGGGAAGGAAGGAAGGAAGGAACTGGAATAAGCTCAGTTCAAATCCTTGGAAAAAAGGCAGCCCATCACATCCCTGAATTGTATCCGGCTCTTTCGAAACCAATTGAGCGAGGTGTTTCGAATTGCTTTGAAGACTGACTTTGAAACACTCAACTCCCCCTGAATTGAATCTCTGCATTTCTGCCAGGGCCATAACACAACCAGCTTCCTTGCCCTGGTTCAGTAGATGGAATGTTGCGAGGGCAGGCATTTAAGAGGGATGTCCTTTCCTCCCATCTCAAGGCTTGTGAAGTGTGAAGAACGATGAAAAATGGAGACTGGTTCAAGAGCGATGCAAATCATAGAGTGCTAGGGCTGGAAGGGACCTTGGAGGTCTTCTAGTCCGACCCCCCTGCCTATGTTAGGAGTCCTCATACCATCCTGGATAAATGGTGGTCCAATCTTCTCTTGAAGACCTCCGGTGATGGAGCACCCCACAACTTCTGGAATAACAGAATAACAGGGTTGGAAGAGACCTTGGAGGTCATCTAGTCCAAACCCCTGCTCAGGCAAGTGGCTGTCCAATCTCTTCTTTAAAAACTTCCAGTGTTGGAGCATTCACAACTTCTGGAGGCAAGTTCTTCCACTGGTTGATTGTTCTCACCGTCGTGAAATTCCTCCTTAGTTCTAGGTTGCTTCTCTCCTTGATGAGTCTCCATCCATGGCTTCTTGTCCTGCCTTCAGGGGCTTTGGAGAAGAGATTGACCTCTCTTCTTCCAAAGCCACTTGGGGGCAAGACCAGAAGCAATGGAAGGAAGCCACTCCATTGACTTATCCTTCTGCCTGTCACGAAATATCCTGCTTATTTCCAGGTCGGATCTGCTTCTGAGTTGCTTCTTGTCCTCCTTCCGGTGGGATGGAGAATAAATTAGCACCTTCTTCCCTGTGACAGCCCTTCCTGTACTGAGAGAGTCCTTCAACTATTAGTAATGCTGCTAAGTAACTCCATAGATTTAGAGTCCCGTATTTGTTATTCAGAGGTGTCATATCTATGGACGTCACGGCTTGACTTGGGGAGGGGAAGCAGCGTGGAAATGGCTTTTAAAGAGTGACAAGACCCATTTCTTGTGAAGAAGCAGTAAATGGTTCCTTGGAAACGAGGCCATTTACTGCCCTTGTTGAGGGCATCCATTAGAACGACAAGGTGGGCCCCCTCCGTCAGTTTAACCTCAAAAGTGTGAGCATTACTGGAAAATTCACACACACACACACACACACACACACACACATGCATAGATTAGGGGTTGTTTTTTTGTTTTTTAAATGTCAACATTAAGGAAATTTACTGAAGGGGGAAGAAAGGAGCGCATTTCGCCAAACGAACGCCAAAATCCAACAAACGTTTGGCTGGTTTTTTTTCCTTTTTTAAAAAATCAATATTTTATTAATTTTCAATTTTTTACAAACAAGTGCTTAATAGACAACGTGTTGACTGGGTCCCTTAGTAATTCTGTGATATATATAAGCTTCTTCAAACTAAATCCGACATTACACCATCTGATACATTTGTGTACAAGGAATCCTTGACTTTAACGGCCACAATTGAGCCCCAGATTTACGTCGCTAAGCGAGACCGTCGTTAAGTGGGCCACTGCAGTTGCTAAGCTAGGAACACCGTTGTTAAGTGGATCTGGCTCCCCCCTTGATTTTGCTGGTCAGAAGGTCGCGAAAGGGGATCCCGTGGCCCCTCTGCACACTGCAGCCGTCATAAATACGAGTCGCTTGCCGAAGCGGCTGAATTTTGATCACGCTGGTGTGGGGAAGCTGCAGTGTTCCTAAGTGAAAATCCGTCATAACTCCCTTTTTTTCAGGGCTGTTGTGACTTTGAACGGTCATTAAATGAACGGTTGTAAGTCAAGGACGACCTGTCATTGACAACTTCCCCCTCAGTCAATTGCAGAAGGCAGGTTTCCTCTGAGTGGCTGGCATCCTGCCCCGACACCTTTAACAACATCAAATATCCCCGTCTGGTCTATCCCAGGTCTTGGGGAAGGACTCGACAGGTGGGCAAAAGCTCCAAATCCAGTGTGAACATCTGCCTGACTGTGTGACAAGCCGTAATAACAATAATCTTTGCAAAATGTTGTTAAGTGCGTTAAAAAAATATGAGAGTAAACTCACGAGTTTTGGGGGCAGGGTTGCCTTTTTTTAAAAAAATGGCAGAATTGGGCCAAAACGGTTTCAGGGTATGTAAAAAGGAGAGGGTAGAAAAACAATCACTGTAGCCACCTGATGTTGTATTGCTTCTTTTCAGAACTGTGTGTTTGTTTAGTGTGAAAGGGAAGTGCGGGTCTGCTCCTAAGGGGTTTTAGGTTGTCTTCTCCTCCTCCTCCTTCAAGGAGAAAAATGAATGTCGGAGGACTTGCTAAAGACCTTGGAAGCACACAAGAGATATTCTGACTAAAATCCGTAAACCTTATCTTTGTACAATCTTCGTAGGATAAACCAGTTTTTTCCAATAAACCAGGATTTGATGATAACTAAGGGATGGGAAGATCCCCAAACACAAGGAACTGGAACTCATCCTGGTCCCCTCCAAATGCTAAGTGGCTGTCTTAAAGACCAAAAGCCATCTGTGGATTGAGCGAACAAACATCTGGATGGACTAGTCCAGGGGTGTCCACCCTTGGCAACTTTTAAGAGTTGTGGACTTCAACTTCCAGGATTCCCCAAGACTTGAAGTCCACAAGTCTTAAAAGTTGCCAAAGTGTGGACACCCCTGGTCTAGGGGGCTTCAACAATGATCTTTCCTCAGCAGCTATTAAGGAACATGCAAACATGGAGCCAAAAACGAGGTCTTGGAAGCTCCAGACCTACATATTTTGGGGTGTGACTTGGGCAAGGGTTTGTACCTCCTTAAATTTTACCATAGAATTGTCCTCCTCCTTTTTTGGGCAAATTTGTTAAGGTCATCCCTTCTTTCTTCTCCAGGAGCAAAGTCCCAGCAACCAGACTTCCATAGCCATGATGCAAGAGCCTCAAGAGATGGTGGAGGAGACCGTGACCGTCGAAGAAGATCCTGGCACCCCCACATCTCATGTTTCTATTGTGACTTCAGAAGACGGGACCACCAGGAGGACGGAGACGAAGGTAGGAAGGGAGGGTTGCAGCCTTGCCAGAATTGAGGCTCAGATTGACTTCCAGTGGGCAACCATTGTCTACAACAGATTTAACTCAACTTCTGAAATAATCTCCAGAAGAGAATGTTTGTAGCTTCAGGTGTTGAAATGTGGGGTCTCGCTGCTCACAACCAACCTCAGAGGGCACCAAGCACTCCACAGAATTAACCTTTAGTAAGGAGGACATGGTCCAGTCTACTCTGTGAATACTGTTTGTATATACGATGTATTCAGAAAGTATCCAGACAACAAAGCAACAACAATGACGATGACGACGATGATGATGATGATGATGATGATGATGGTGATGATGATGTAGTACCAATAGTAATAGGCGCCTTGGGTGCAATCCCAAAACAACTGCAGCACCACTTGGACACCTTGATTGGCATTGACACATTCGCCATCAGTCAATTGCAAAAGGCGGCCATTTTTCAGCCATTTTTTTCAATGCCATTGCACCTTCAAATGGTCATTAAACAAACAGTTATAAGTCGAAGATGACCTGTCTAGCAATGGTGGTTCCTCCTAGAATTTGAAGGAGGGGTGAGGGTTTGTGATTGGGGCCAGCATGCAAATTAGTTGAGGTTTTGTCTCATGACTGGCATTCAGGACCTTCTCTTCACTCAAGCTTTGATATTTCCCATCCCTTTTATTATTCTTTCACACTAACGTGAAATTTAAGGTTGAAGTTCAACGTTCATGTTTTTCTTTGGCTTGTTTTCAGCAATGGGGCAGAAATCAACCCCATAGGCTGGTTCCCTTCTCCCGGTGTCTGGCCTTGAAGCCTAAATTAGTCCAAATTGCTACTTCTGATTTGTTGGAAGATTGCGAACAAAATCACTAAAAGCCGCAAATAAATTACCTGGATGTTTAGTGGAGAATGGAAGCATTTTCTCAGCGTGATCAAAGCGCCGGTCTCTCCAGAAGCTGGTGGGAGACCGTGGTAACAGGTGAAGGAATAAATCAGAAAAGGAGGGGGAAAAAGGTTGCTGGATAAACATTGTCTGGCTGTGGAGCAGATGTTCTCCAACGGAAGTTTATTTTAGAAGCTGTTGACGCATTTTTGAACGTGTTTATTTTGCGTTGGGGCCACGAAGCAAATAAGGTGAGGAAGAGGTGGGGTGGCAGACCCCTGGGAGTGGAGTGGAAGGATGGAGGGGGAAGAAGACACAGAGGAGAAGATGCAGAGGAGGTCTTATTCCTTCATGAGGTGGAGAGAAGGGTCTGAAGGCTCTACAACAGGACGACGGAGAGGACAAAATGGGGACACTTGAGTAAATTCTTGAGGTGTTGAGGTTGACGGGGATGTTTTACCTGAAACCTCTCAGAATGAGGAGGTTGAGGACCTGGGAACAAACCCACTTACTAGCAGCCCATCTCTTGGGAATAGGTTCTCCTCCAACATCTGGAGGGCCAGTTTGGTCTAGTGAGCTAGCTTGGTCTAGAGCAGGGATGTCAAACTGCATCACGCAGAAGCCGCGCCCACCCCAGCTCCGGCAATGGGGAAAAAGTCGCCATATGTCGCGACATGTCCCATGACGCGGCAAGTTTGACACTCCTGGACTAGAGGTTAAGGCCACCAGGTTAGAAAGCGAGAGAGTTCTAGTCCATCTTAGCTGTGAGAGCCAGTTGGGTGACTTTGGGCTGATCACCAGGAGACGGTGAGTTCTAGTTATGCCTTAGGCATGAAAACCAAGTGGATGACTTTAGGTCAGTCACCAGGTGAGCTCTAGTTTAGCCTTAGCCATGAAAGCCAACTGGGTGACTTAGGGCCAATCAGCAGGAGACGGTGATTTCTAGTCCCACTTTAGGCATGAAAGCTGGCTGGGTGACTTTGAACCAATCACCAGGAGACGGTGAGTTCTAGTCCCACCTTAGGCATGAAAGCCGGCTAGGTGACTATGGGCCAATCACCAGGAGACGGTGATTTCTAGTCCCACTTTAGGCATGAAAGCTGGCTGGGTGACTTTGAACCAATCATCAGGAGACTGGGAGTTCTAGTCCCTCCTTAGGCATGAAAACCAGCTGGGTGACTTTGGGCCAATCACCAGGAGACGGTGACTTCTAGTCCCTCCTTAGGCCTGAAAGCCAGCTGGGTGACTTGGGCCAATCGCCAGGAGATGGTGAGATGGTGAGTTCTAATCCCACCTGGCTAGATGACTTTGGACTGAATTCTAGTCCCAACCGTAGGCAGGAAAGCCGGCTAGGTGACTTTGCGCCAATCGCCAGGAGACGGTGAGTTCTAGTCCCACTTTAGCTCGGAAAGCCATCTGAGTGATCTTGGGCCCGTCATTCTTTCACTCACTCATGTGACCATGAGGATGCTGCAACGGTTGTGTGATGACAGGTCCTAAGTCACTTTCTCAGTACTGTTGTAACTTTGAACCATCGCTAAACAAACGGTTATAAGTCGAGGAGCACCTACAGGGAGACAATCTGTGCCCTCGTGGGTTTCCCCCCCAAAAATTTTTAAGAACCTGGCTCGCCAAGACGAAGATGAAGGAGCCTTCAAAAGAAAAACTTGGCATTTGTCTTAAAAAAATCGCCAGTGTTTTGTGACGTAGTTTCACCCTGTAGGATTCTTTGTCAGAAGGTCTGTTGACAGCTCCCAGCTTTGAAGCCTTTCATAAGGGATTAGAGACCTCTGCAGATGACAGACCCAGGATGACAGCCTGCTGTGATAACTACATATTCCATCCAAGATTAAACGAACCTCTGAATTGAAGACCCCGGAGAACAAAAAGATAAAGCCATTCCCCCATTTGGAGATTCTGATGAGACAAATTCTTCTCCCTCCCTCCCTCCCCTTTGTAACTTGCTTTTTTTTTTGAAAAAAAAAGAATATTTTTGCAATTTCTTTTTGTTCTCGCCCTTTGCTTAGCTCCTATCGATTACCGATACCTTTGTGATATTTTACGTGGGTGGCTGCCTTGCTGGTTACACCTTTCATTCCCTTCTACAACAAATAAAGAGGGTCCTTGCCTTACAACCTTGCCATTGTTTAGTGACCGTTCGAAATGACAGCGCCGCTGAAAAAAGTGACGTAGGACCATTTTTCGCACTTACGGCCATTGCAGCATCTCCATGGTCACGTGATCAAAATTCAGAGGCTTGGCAACTGACATGTACTTGTGACGGTTGCAGTGTCCCCAGGTCATGCGATCCCCTTTTGAGACCTTCTGACCAACAAAGTCAACGGGGACAGCTGGATTCACTTAACAACCAGATTACCAATTTATCAACTGCAGTGATTCCCTTAACATCCGTGGCAAGAAAGGTCGCAAAACAGGGCAAACCCCACTTGACAAATTTCTCACTTAGCAACATCAATTCTGGGCTCCATTGTGCTCATGGGTCAAGGACCACCTGAATTCCCAAAAGTAAAGAATATTGATTATTCTGGAATAAGGCTACTTCCTACTTTCCAATGTTTACCCTAGCTGGGTACAAAATAAGTGGAATTTATTTGGTAGGGTTTCTTTTCCTTCTCTCTCTCTCTCTCTGTTTCTCTCTCTGTCTCTCTGTCTCTCTGTCTCTGTCTCTGTCTCTGTCTGTGTCTGTGTCTGTCTCTCTCTCTCTCTCTCTCTCTCTCTCTCTCTCTCTCTCTCTCGTTGTTAAACGATACGATTCGTTTAACAACGATTGATTTAACGATGATTTAACGATGATTTAACGATGGTGGCAAAATAGGTTGTAAAACTGGATGCAACCTACTGTATTGAACAACCACTGCACTTTAGCCAAGGAAAGTCTGCTCCCGATCGTTTGATCAGGCTAGATCTTGAGCTAAATAAAAAGATAAATCCAGAACACCAAATCATTGTGAACGCAAAGAATGGCAAAGCGAGAGGCTTAAGACTTTAATACCTGGGCAGCTTTTATTTCTCTTTTCTTGTATTTCTCCTTTAGTATTCATAAACAACAATGCGGTGGAGACTTTTTAAGATTAAGCTCAAGGATTTGCTCTCTTTTATTTCTTTTCATGTTACAAAATCATTCCAGGTGCTTTACCCGGCCTTATATATTCAGCCTTATCTATACAATTTCAGCCACTCTCGGTCTGTTTATATCTCTGAATCATACATATTAACACCGATGCGCATTTTCTATTTTGAATGTTTTCATGTCCTCTCATCAGGACGGTGCTAATTGCTTCCAGTTCCTGTTGTGTAAATAGCACAGAACTTGGCTATTATTTGTGTTTTATAATGTAATAATTAAAGAGAGAGAGAGAGAGAGAGAGAGAGAGAGAGAGAGAGAGAGAGAGAGAGAGAGAGAGTACCTTACTAAGCCTTGTGCTTCAGATGAATAGCAGACATCTCTTTGTGTGCTATCTGTTAGATAAAACCAGACTGGCACACAGATGATAGGCAATGCCCAGAATAGCCGTGCAATTGATAAGAAGCATGTTTACAGTCACAATTATCAAAACTGCAATGGATACAGTGCTGTTATCTTTCCCCATTAAAATGGCAGGGAAGCCTTGTTCGATGAGAGCACGCATCCTATTTGAGGAGAGACCATAGTTCCCACTGAATACATTGCTTGCGTGCACATTTTTAATACCTGCTTCCACCCACTAGGGCAGTGGTTCTCAACCTTTTTAATGCCGTGACCCCAACCGGTCGTAAGTCAAGGACTAAACCGGTCGTAAGTCGAGGACTTTCCCTGCCCAGGAGCGCTGCGCATGTGTGGTTCCGCCCCCTGCGCCAGCCGAGGCGTAGCTGGCAAGCGGCAGAGACAGAGCAGGCTGACCACCAGCTGGCCCAGCCCAAGGGAGGTAAGGCACCCGCCGGAAAAGGGGGGAAAATGGCAGACAAAAAAATGGTGGACAAAAAAAATGGCGGACAGCCTTGCTTGGCGACCCCCATGAAATGATCGATCGACCCCAAATGGGGTCCCGACCCACAGGTTGAGAACCACTGCACTAGGGAGTTAGAGAGTTGGGGGGTCCCGGGGTAGGTGGTC